TTAAGATATCAGAAAAAACAACTCTGAGAGTTGTTTTATTGTACATTTTTTTAAAGAAAATTACGACCAAAAGGTTGTGGAACACAGTTCATTGTTTGTCCAAAAAAGAATAAAAATGCTATTGGAAATCCTTCATTGTGCATGCAATCTACATCAGACCTTCATGCACCTCTTAGCTTATAAGTGAATACTCTGTTGGATACCTGATTTCTAGAATTAACTCAGTAGGCTCTTTATGAAAACTAATAATGAGTACAATGTAAAATAGATCAAAATTATTGGAACTTACTGTTCCAATTTCATTTTATTATTTTGTTTTATTCAAAACGAATGCATTATTACAGTATACAGCTTTAGTCATGTTAGTAAGGAACAATTGGGTTCTAACGTACACCATATTTTGTAATTTCAGTTATATTTTTCTATGAAAATAAAATTTTAAAAACATAAATAATTACATCAATACAACCATGTTTAGAACGAATGGCACAGGTTTCTTTTCAAATCACCTCTTAGTTGAGAGCTTACTTACAAGGTATCAACATATTTTAAATTTCATGTCATGGTGATGTACAAAGGCTAAGTTGATGAATGTTTAAATTCATTATTAACAATTAATTTTTCCCATCTTCAAGCCCAAATCATTATTCTGATCTAAATTATTGTGCTAAATAGGAAAGTTGCTAAGGCCACCCAGTGACTAGCAAAGTCCAAGTGCGACCATTTACTGAGAGTATGCTTCATTCCATAACCCTAAACCATGAAAGTAAAGGGAAAAAAAATGAGAATTAGTAGATAAGATCAGGGCCGAGTTGTTCAAAGCTGGGTTAAGATAACCCAGGGTTAGTGCGAGATTTAGATTGAGATTTTCCCCAGCAGTATCATATCCCATAATATTAATATCACCTTGTAGGGCTCATCACAGGCTTTCTTTTAAGGGTCTCATTTTTGCAAAAAAAGCAACAGTTACTGCCTCTCCCTCCCTCCCCCTCTCCTTCTCTGCAGTATGGATAATTTTGCTTGTATGTAAATTTTGATGTGAAGGCATGCACCATTTTAACAAACAAAATGCACCAACCGCAAGTACATTGGTAATTTTAAAGAAGTCTTTTGTCAGTTTCATCTGTGAATCTCTCATCCATGTGATTGTGATCAGTAAACTTCTTACTGTTGGTACCAGAAAATACTTATTACTTAAGGCTTAAATTTGTTGTTCTACTCATGTATTAAAACTAGACTTGAGTTCCCCTCTCACTCCTCAAACACCATACTTCGCTGGGTTTCCAACATTAACCCTTTATTTAAGCTAATGTTAACCACAATAAAACTTTCAAACAACCCAGATTCAACATCATATTAAGAAACTGAAAAACAAATACAGTAATGCATTTGAAAATACAAACATGTACTACAAGAGGGGTTTCAATTAAAATTAATGGATATGCCATAGGGTCTCTTTTATGTAAAAAAAAAAATCAGAATAGGCCACTCCCGAGTTCCAAAAACTCTCACTTTCAAAACGAGGCTAAGTGCAAAACCTTTGCTGTAAAAATGAGTTTTATTTGAATGAGAATAACAGTAGTTTTTATGTCAATGGCTTCACACTTAGCCTTGCTTTGAAACAGAGGCTTGGGGCAACTCGGAAATGGCTTACTAAATTTCACGCCTCCACATAAACTGGCTTTCGGGAACAAAAGGGCTAGTAGGGGCTCATCTTTTGGATGTAGGGTAAAAAAGTTAGCATAAGTACAGTTGAATTTGCATTAAGCAGCCACCTTCGGAGTACAAGTGCCTGCAAGTGGCCGCTCAGTGGAGATAGGCCGTTCAGTAGAGGTTTGTCATTAATTAGAATAATCTTTAGCAAGAACATCACTTTATTTTGAAACAAGCACACAATGGGAGAAGCATTACTGGTCCACAATCCATTGTCAACTTCTATCTTGGACTGTATTATTTTTCCTTCATCGTATTCTTGAAATGAAGCCAAACCAATGCAAGTGGATATCAGTGTATCAAGTGCTTGGTGGCCACTTAATTGATAGAGTTGACGACAAGGGGAAGTATAATTTCCCATTCTTTTCTACAATATTACTTCATCAGGACTTTGATTACTGGCCACTTAATAGAGGCCATAGCTGGTTAATGGAGGTTCAACTGCATTTGAATATCATGATCAGACCAAAGCCCAGTGATACATTGCATCAACTGTGTTGATTAGATTGGCCACAGTAGAGACGGGTGATAGAGAAGATGACATTTCAAGTGCTAGTCTTTTGTCAGGTCAGATAGTGAATCCATGCAGTGATCAATGACTTGTTACTTACTGTAAGTTGTAACTTCATTAAAAATAATTAATATACATCCTTTTACCCTGAGTGAGTTGAACAAGATGGGTTGCCCTAGGTTTATGTTCGACCAGACTTGCTGAGCTGGCAGAGGTGGGTAGTGAAGGCCATCTAAGATGATGTTCCACAAGATAAGACAAAAAGTTACCTTCTCCTGAACTTCTGTATCCCCTCCAAACATGATACCCAAATATGCCAAGTGAAACATTGAGAGAAAGCTAAAGCCAAGATTTGCAGCCGTTAGCCAAAAGTTGCCCTGAAAGAAACGTACCAAATCAGTATTTTGTCAGTGCAGTAGCACAAAATATCTACATGTATAAATTTAAGTGTCTCAAGCCACACCCTCTAACCCCTCACTGCTTTTCTTGTAGCAGTTAGCAAGAAGTACAAGCTTAGAGCATATATTTCCCTTTAAAATATTTTAATAGAACTAACACTTATGTAACTATACACACTTTTTAATGTTAATATTCCACTATTTTCTTTAACATTGCAAACCAGTTCTTCAGTTTTGTTTTCTAGAATTAACAAACTCAATCAAGATAACTTGTGTTTAAATACAAGTAACATCTACTGCTTGTCCCCTGATGAGGAACTATCACATTGCTGTTATATCATCAGTCCTTATGCACATGCAAAGTTGAAAGGATATTGTGAATTTATAAGTACCGTGATGAAATGTGGTGCTGCAATAATAAAAATGTAATGTAATGCAGTGTTTTGGGTCTTTAACATATGCATTGTAAGGTCATTGAAAGAAAAAAATCAAGGAAATTTGATGTCTTGAGCGATTACTTGTTTAGCTGTTTGTTAGCCTGTGTTGCAGCTGGCGTACGCATCGTCCAGAGTGTCTGCGACGCAGGTTAGCTGTTTGTAACCCTCCATAGAGACCATGGGCAATTGTATGTGACATTGTTTAAAAAAAAAATAGTTGGCATGCATTAATTATTTTGTTACTCACCTCTTTGTACACATGTCCACATTCAGGCCGGCATTTTCGTGCCAGTATACAGGCACTGAAAATTTTTCCAACCTTTAAACGAAACACTTAAAAAAAAATAACAAGTAATTTCTAGTTAGTGATTAAAAACAGTGACAATTTGACAAAGAAGAACAGATGGACAAGCCGTTACATGTAATTATATTTTTCCTGCCATTTCCAGGGGTTTGAATAAGCACCCACAACTGACAAAATGTGTCGGTTATTTTGCTCAGAGACGTCGGCTACTTTTCTCCCCGAAAGAAGAAGTAACTAGAGTGCTTATGATGTCTTAAACAAATAACATATCATAAAATCTGACTGAAAATGTAAAGGCCCACTGGTTTTTAGTTATGCTTTAGTTATGCAATCGCTGTATTTCAGTCAATTCTTCATGGGTCTTTGGAGGTTTACACATAATTTGTTCTCGTTCAAATGTATGTTTGTTCACTGCTTGTAAGTTGTGTGGCTGATAATAGGAACCTGAATGAAAGCTACCTTTTCTTGAATGAAAAACACACTTGATGGTGGGGACAGGGCAAGGAGAAGTGAGCAGGAAAAACTCCTCCTTATTTTTTTCCCACCTTCTGACTTCGCTCCTCACTTGACCCACTATAATCTGAACCCCTGGAACAAGCTAGGTCTTTCCAGTCATACAAATTACCCAGTGCATGATTCTACATAAATTTGCGCTCACACCAAATAAAGCAACAAGACATCAAATTTGATGATATTCAATTATAAGCATATAAATCAACCAAAAGAAATGAGAAAAGGACATCAATAAAAATTATCATGATTTAAATTTAAGAAGGTCGATCCTTGTGAACTTATTACGTGTACATGTAAACGTAATTTTAATATTATTATAGCATATGTTACAGGTCAAATTTAAAATTTTTTAACCTACAATGTAGGTTGATTCTCAATTTCTTGCTTGTCTCCTAGCCCTGGTGATTATACATGATTTAGGGCTAAGGGACAAAGGAAATTGAGAATCAACCTAGATAAAAAAAAATTTCAACCTGAATTTAGTTTTGACCTGTAGTACATAATATTATGTCACTAAATACCTCTTCAGTTTCAAAAACAAAAAAATTGTACATCCTTTTTTCACAATGGTTTCTCAGGAGGAAACATTAGATATCGAGCCCTAAAAAATATTCTATCTTTTCCTAAATTATATGTATTTCAATGCATTTTGGACTGTTAAATCTAGTGAAGACATTGTGTATCAAAGTGAGGAAAGATTTGGCTGACTCACCATGTTCAATATAGGCATATGTTCCTATTGAAATCAAAACTGCAGCAAGTTGAAAATTAATACCCTAAAAGACAAAAAGGACAGTCATGAGAGCTTTTACTTTGGGTTATCTACTGGTTTAAATAATAATTTTGTAATTTGTAATTATATGATGAAAGCAAAAACATGTCAACGGCAAATATTCTATTTTTATTAATAATAAGGTCTCACTGACGGGCATAGGTAAAAAAAGAGTAAGAGTTGTTTAACCCTATCCTACCTGGCAGGCAGAGATCAAAATAATTATTTAACAATTATAAAACATCCCATAAGACCTGGAGGTACTTTTGTGTCTCATTAAGTTCGATAAAAGTAAAAGTGGAATCACAGAGATTGCTGGGATCTTCCTTTGAAAAGTACTTTAATTTATGTTAACATTATAACAAGAATTATTGTGAATTAAATAATTAGCTCTGGAAAGGTACACAAAGAACCATTTACTATTTGAGAGGTTGTTTTTGATAGTTTATACCCACACAGGTACATGTATAATTCTTCTTTTACTTACATGAAGCAAAGAGCTTAATGCAAAGGTCAAAAAGACAGCTGTAAATCTTCCAAGCGGTTGAGCTTTCTTGAACACATCTAAACAATAATTAAGGTAGACTCATTACTTAAAAGAGATGTGATGGTGAATTTTGAGCCTGATGAATACAAGAGAAAGATGATTTTCCAACCATTGACGCAGGCAGCTGGGTAGAAAAAATCCCAGTACTCCAAATAGGAATCGAACTTACGTGCATGTACCACCTTGACTGGTTACCTATTAATTCCAGATGCCCTACCACTGAGCTAAAGAAGACTCATGGGAGACTTGTGGGAACAAAGGCCACTAACCTAAGTTCATGTGCTAAACAATATCCTGCATTGTGGTTCTTATAATCTCAAAATGGTCCAGTAATATCAGTTCTTGCAATGCATTTAGTGTTACTAACAATTACATGCTGACTGGATTAGACTGGAGACCACTTGAACAGTAATGTGTACATGTAAATATCAGAATGACCACATTGGGCAATATTATTATTAAAACCATGTGTGGACTTATCTCTGGGGACATGAAGAGAACTCTTGCCACCTGTTCAGTGGATAATGAGAAACACCCACTTTAAAAGTTTCATCTTTTTATAATCTTATATGGGTTCTGAGTGGCTATCCTTTTAAACAAGTAAAACAATAATAAGCAGCAGCTGGGACACATTAATGCACAGCTCTAGATAGCAATTCACTTTATTAGTAATTTCAATATGTCTAGAAAGCAGCAACAATATAGATAGTCGTATAAACATGACAACTTTCTTTAATTTTCCAGACATGTTTCGACGGTACATCTGTCATCTTCAGTGTTACATATTTTGAAATCGCCGTTGAATTTAAAGCGCGCGCGATCTTACAAAGTTCGTTACATTGCGTTGTCAATATTGCGTACTAAAACAAAGTTAAATGAGTGACGCTTAGTTCTTCGCGTGAGGGGCTATGCATGCGTGTGGTCTATAAATTTTCGTGTGCAAGTTGTAATGCTTGTTATGTTGGTGAAACCAGCTAGCCGACACTTCTCCACACGAGTGCGTGAGCACTTACTTTCAGACAGGTCTTCGAACATTTTTAAACATCTGCAGGGTTCAGAGTTGTGTAGAGCATACTGCACACCGGATTGCTTCGAGATCCTGGACTCTGCAACCACTAAGTACCAAGTGAAGCTTAAGGAATCCATGTTTATAAAATGGGAGAAGCCCGATCTCAACCAGCAGGTGAAACACATTAACCTGACTCTCTCCCTGTAAAGAACTAAGCGTCACTCATTTAACTTTGTTTTAGTACGCAATATTGACAACGCTATGTAACGAACTTTGCAAGATCGCGCGCGCTTTAAATTCAACAGCGATTTCAAAATATGTAACACTGAAGATGACAAATGTACCGTCGAAACATGTCTGGAAAATTAAAGAAAGTTGTTATGTTTATACGACTAATTTCAATATATATATATATATAAAAACAGTTAGAATATAAACTTACAATTTTTTAGAAATACATGCATTGGAATATTCCAGTGTACAACAACCTCGACCAAGGAGCGGGGAAGCTCAATGTGCTGTGGCCTTGCAACATCTGACCTCCTAACAGTTAGTACAAACAGTTAGTAACAGGTTATTAATCACTGTTTGACAGATGATTAGGAAAGAGGTAGATAGCTGCTTGACAACTAATAACAATAATAATTACTATTATTTAATATCCTTTTTGTTTACTATAAAAGCAAATAACTAATCTTAAAAAATTAAATTTTGAGATGACAATATGACTTTATAGTAGTGTGCAAATATTAAGTAGTGTCCTGTAGCCTGGGGCTAATTGATTTTGCTATCATGCTAGTGAATTCTGTTCTTTACATTTTGAAATCACTGGTGATCCCTGCAATCTGATTGGCTCTCAGCAGTTGGCCTGCAAAGCAGGCATATATTGCAGTGCGATCCATGATTTTTTTTTTCGGGAATAACGTTATCCTGCCATCTTGGACATTAATACTACCAGAGTTGGGATGTGTCCAAAACTTATTTTAAGGGAGAGGTTGATAGGTTTAAAATAAAGGAGGGGGTAGCCTGCGTAGCAAGTTTTTCCAATCGAGTTATGGCACAAAAGTTAGAGTGGGAGCAAAAAAAAAGGGGTGGGGGGAGGAAGAAGAGGAAACGCTTGCCCGCAAACCCCACGATTCTGGAAAACACCCCTTGATATTTCATGGTTTGGTTCATTTGTAAATTGACAGCTTGTCAAAATAGAAGTACAACGAACAGATTCCTACCCTGGATTTCCAGATTTGCAAAATTACTTTGTTTTCTAGCTAATAGAACACATTCCAGGCAATTGCAAAAACTGTAATAAAAAAGGTTTATGATAAAAGAAGGTTAAAACTGCGGAATTTCTTGTATTTTATTGTGTGGCTTTATCTCGTCTGAAACCTTGTTGAAACATCAAAAATGATTTGTCCGGAACAATTCACTCCGCCGGCTAAGTTTTGCAGAGCGGCTGCTCTTCAGCCCATGTCTAAACGTTCTCTACAATACATGCCGCTAAATTTCCAATAAACAAAAAGAGTCTTTTCATTTCAAAAAGCTGACAAATCGCTTGTCCATGGCAGCTTTATAATAGCTAGTGTCGAGTACCGATGTTCTGATTTACGTTGATGTTGTCTCCAACTAATAGTCCATTTTTTCCTGTCAGATCTGCACACTGTCATTCCCAGTAAATTGGCCTTCCCTAGTCTCCACAGCTCAATCTCCCATTATACTTTAAAGACTCTGATCTCATAAACCTTTGCACAAACACAATTCAAATCAGTCCAAAGCAATTGTAATCTGCAACCACAAATCAAATAAGACCAGATCTGTGACGCATGTAAACAAAGCATACCTGGTTTGATTGATGTTTCGAGTGCTAAGTAATCAACACTACTAGCACTGCACCAATCAGAAACTGTGTTTGTGGGCGAACTCAGTTTTTCAAAATTGTGGGTTTGCGGGCAAGCATTTCCTCCTTTCCCCTCCCCCGTCATTTCTTTTTTTTTGCTCTCATCCCAACTTTCCTTGACAAACTCGCGCGGAAACACTGCTACGCAGGCTAAGGAGGGGGAGGGGAGGGGACTGCTTCTCCCCCCTGTCTCGCCCCTCCTCCCTTACTTTTTCCCTTTGCTTTTCAAGATGGCAGCTGCAATCAATGTAAGTCTGAGTTTCTGCTAAACAATGCCTGCTCTGCAGGCTACTCAGCTGTGTGATTTATTCACGAATCACGATTTTTTTTGCTTTAAATCACATCTGTTTTAAATTAAATTGCGTCATTTCTGTTTTAAATCTCACCATTTTCACTCTTTTTTGCACCATTTCTGTATCGGGTACGAAACAAGATGTAAAAGCCTTTTTGTCTCCGCTTTTTAACAAACCAGCTACTAGATCAAATAAATATTGGTACTGACTGAATTCCGTAATTTCAAAGTGGCTGTAATAAAGTGGTGATTGAACTTCGTGTCATGCAATTTTGGTCTGAAATCATACTTGTGCTTTAAATTGAACTTGTGCTGTGCCCTTGTTTGATTTTAAAGTCGTGTATATGATTTCAGACCAATTAATCGCACTCCACTCAGTTCAATTACCATAATTACCATTATTAACTTGCCGGATGGATAAGTGAAGTTTTTTTTTTAGGGAATTCAAATAATATATTAATATAGAATCACTGTAATCAATCCTGCTCATCAAGACTGCTAACAATGACATGTGATGACATGAAAAATCAAAAGACAAGTGTTATGGACTTTTCAGAGTTTGTAAAACAAGTGGAATAACCATTATTACCAGATACTTAGTTGCTTTCCTTCTTGATTAACCTCAGTTCCGATGCCACTTAATAAACTGGTACATTCAGACAGGAAACTCACAAAGTAATGGCTGAACCTGAAGGACATGGCAGACTGGTATGCCACAAACCATCTGAGAAGAGATATAAACAATAAAACAGACTTGAAATAATGATTGTGAATTGAAATAATATGAAATGAATCATATTTTGAAGTAATATATCAAGCACGAGATGCTGTTTTTCATCACCAGATGAAACACCAAGAAGAGAGTTGAAAATACAACACGCAGCGGAGTATTTTTGACAAACTTCAAGGTGTTTCATCTGGTGATGAAACACTGTGTCAAATGCTTGATATTGCTTCTCAAACAAAATGATTTCAGAAGGAGAAATTAAGGACACAAAACTGAGCAGTTTTTCAACTGATTTCCAAACACTCATTGAACATTAATTTCCTTTAGTATTTTCTTTATGAATTATTAATTAGTTTAAGAACTGCCGATAAAGACATGAAAGTGAACATGATCTTCGCAGTGAAGATTTTCAGATTCTTTTTCAACCGCACAGATTGTTCATTCAACTACGAGGATCATCATTTCACTTTCATATCTTTACCCGCAGTTCAAAATATGATTTATTTCATATATTTCAATTCCCGTCATTTCCACCATGGGGTATTATACGAACTCACAATGGCCTGCTCTCCAGTTGGCTTGATTCAGCACAATACATAGATACATATAGAGCGTTGCGTCTGGTCATTGCAAAGGTCAGGGTTCGTTTCTGGTCAAGCCTGAATTTTTCTGGTTGTTATTCAATCACTTAGCCTGTTCCAAGCGTTCACATAGTGGAGAGCAGTGTGAAGTAAAGAAAGCGATAAAAAGTAGAGGGTGACTGGGGAGAGAGGTGAGGGAACTCCCTCTCTCACCTCTCCCCCTCCCTCACTTTTATTTTTTTCGTGCTCCTTTTCACTTTGCACCGCTCCCCACTATCTGAACGCCTGGAACAGGCTATCAATCACTTAGATTATTCATTCTAATGTGAAGATGATGTTCACCTTCAAAGCAATTGTTATCTTGGCTGAAAAAGGCAACCTTTATTCTAAAAACAATGGGACATCAAAGTCAAGATTACGTATATTCCTTCAAATTAAGACAGGTGACTCCATTTCCTGTTTCAAGAAAACCAGCAGTAAGAGGTCAAACCAGGGGAATTATTGAAACAGTGAGACCAAACAAACAATAAACAGTCTGACTTAGTTTGACTTTCTTGAACTATTCCTAGACTTTAGACACTAGAAACTAGTCCTAGGTTTTGTTCTTTATGCTAAATGGTAGCTGTGTGACAAGGTCTTTTGACTCTAAAAAGGTGATCCACTTTAACGCTTGGCAAAAACAAAGATGACTAAGGCCCCATTTAAATGGAGAAAAGTTGTCATGAGAAAGAGGGTCACCCTTCCATCCAAGTCGACATTAGTGAGTGTTTATATGGGAAGAAAGTTTCATCCTCTTTGCCTGAACCAACAGCGCTCGCACGTACATGGTCTGATTGTCTAAAACAGAGCTTATGCATCCTCTTTATTGTCTCGCCTTGACCAAGTTGACGTGGCCGGGTGAGCCAAAGTGTTGGCCCCCAAAAAAGGTTGACCTGGTCTAACCAAGCCAACTTTATGTTTCTCCTGTAAACAGTTTGCCAAGTTTGAAAAGGAGATGTAAGGAAAGTTGGCTGGCCAAGGGTAGCTCTGGTAGGGTAGTACCAGTATACCTTCTTTCTGGGAAAAGTTTTGACCATATACCTGATTTTAATAATGATTGAGGGACTCACTTGAATGCATCCTCTTCAAAAATCCAAGGAGAAATGCAAGCTGATATAATCAGGCAACAATAGGAGATAACACAGCTTCTAATTACTCCAACAAACCATGAAAAACTCTAAAATGCAAGAAAGGAGACAATCTAATGGGCATGCCAGGAGACTGCATTATTAAGAACTGTTTAATGTCACTATGAGCTTTCTAAAAACCTCATGAAAAGTCATACAACTAAATAAGATAGGCAGTTAAACAAACAACAGGATGGCATACTGTAATAAGGGGGGACACAGCCCTGTGGCAGGTAATAAGCGACTTCAGGTTAAGCAAACAAATAACACAAGCCTCAATTATCGCCCCACTACTCTGGGGTAGGACAAGAAGTATTGGCAGAGTCTTTCTTTTCTCTTTAAGACCGCACTGGCTAGATCAGACAAGACGAAGGCTTTATGAAAGAGAGGAGGTTTATCAAACCTGTGACGTTGACAAAACCTTCATTGGATTAACCACTGTATAAGCATTATATTCACCTAAGTTTACAAGTCTAATTTCAACTCATTTCCTTACCAATGGTTTTCCAACAAGGATTTGGCAGTAATCTGTGTATGTCATGAAAGGTCCAAACACAACTGAACTAACTGAAAGAGTGTAGCCAAAATACTCCAGAATATTTGGTCGTGTTATCACCCCTTTATCCACATCAAATGCCAAAGAAATTAGCTTCATTACCAGTACCATCTGTGAACCTAAAAACATCATTTAAAATAATACAAGGTAAGTTATTTGTGTCGCAAAATATGTTATAGTGGTGACAAAGAAGAGAAATTATTAAGGGCCGCCTAAGCGTGAGCCCCTGGGATACCAAACATCAACCACCCAAAATAGTGATTGAAAGCAACCTGCACTGCCCATTATTAGGGAAAATGTAGCCATGAAGAAAACATACCTCGAACCTGGTGCCAGTTTTCAGCTGTAACAATGAAAAGTTCACTGTAGAAAAGTCAACATAAAAGTTAATCTTAATTTTAAATGACACAGCCCATAATCCTCATGCTAGGAAATTTTCAAGAAAACTGTCTACCAGAAACATCTTCTAGTAATTGGGAGCATTTAGGCTTAGTGTTTCAACTTGAAGCACTTACAGACAACATGTTTTTGCTATTTCCATTTTTTATCCCAGATACCTCTTCATTGTATGCATGTGCATGTTTGGACTTTCACCTGTACTTGCTTGTGAAACAAATTCAGCAGATTTACATGTATTTGACATTCAACACCTCAAGAATCACTAAGGGTTTGTTCAATGCACCCGTTCAATTCCTAGTCCTGCCCCGGTTGTTCCAAAGTTGGATAGTGCTATCCACCGGTAAATTGCTATCCAATGGATACGCATCACAAAAACTAATTGCGCTATCCACTGGATGGTGATTTATCCAGTGGATTGGGCTATCTACCTTTTGAACAACTGGGGCCTGATCAACCATCAACATGGATAATCAATATTCTCGAATGACCATAAGTGGAATGATGTAAATTTGTATCAATTACTGCTGCAAATACTTGGTCCCTTGGAAACATACACAAGCATGAGGGATCACAGATTGTAGATCCATCAATAATAATTATTGTTTGACACAAACATGACCTCTTCATCTTGTTTTACATAGATGTTGTTATTGTAATGTGTATAGTCTGAAATGTCAGTCATCCGTCCCTCCAGCCCAACAAATCCACAAGGTGTGGGTAAATAATATTATTATATGTACATGTAGCTTGAGTACCAATGGTGTCTACAATTCAGACTGTTTATGCACTGTTGTGGGTGAAAACTGTACAATGTCTGGTCCAACTGTGCCAAAGGTAAGGTCTGTGAGGTAAGCAAGGAGGCCATGCACCGGCAGAATCCACAATGTCTACTACTGTAGACATTGAGGTGATTTTCTAGGGAGGAGGGGTGGGGGTGTAAGGAGGACTGGAGTCATGCCATCACTGTGTGTAAAACAATCGCATGCAAACCATACCATGTAATTAAAAAGGCCACCGACGTGCACGCCATGACAATTCCACGCTTTCCATTTCTCACAAAAAGGACTGGGTAACTCAGACAGCACAAAGTCAAAGGATAAAGGGCGTTCTTCTTAACGAATAGAAAGAGCGCTGCAATCCCACAGACAAATGAAACAAAGTGCACGATAAGCCTTGGCAGTTTTAGGAGTGATACAATTCGCAGGATAACACACATAGCAATAAGCGGTCCCACAAGCTCGACAGTTTGAAATGTTGTTGGCCCAGCACAAGACTTGAACAAGTAGAAAAAGCGGCCATATTTTTCCATCTCCTGGTACTCTTGGTACAAAGCCAGTTCATCAATATCATCATAATACTCAACTAAGTGTTCATTGACTAAATCTTGGACCTGAAGTTCCTCCATTTCTGCTGTAGATTGAAATTTCCCGATCTTCTTGCTCTCTCCTCGCTACTTTTGTCGGCTTTCTCTCATCTTTCACGCGAAAAATTCCAAAGTTTCCGCCACAAATTGTTTTTGAGCCCACGTCATTTGCGTACAGCAGTAATAGCAGTGGCGATTGTGCGCAGCTTGGGGTTACTTCTCAATGAAATAACTGAGCTAAATGGCTATGTTATGGACTTTGTTGCATTTTGAACGATTTTTCGCTTAGAAATTGCCATTTATTTGCCACACCTCGCGTACATGCTCCACCTACGTGTTTTAAGTTGCAAGAAATACAAGTGAAAACTAGGAAGGCCAGTAGTTCTTGCGTTTTTCACCATGTGTGACGGTTTCAATCACGGCGCCCTTCAAATCGCCGTAGCGCAAATCTGCCAATCAATGGGATGGGACGCTCTACAAAAGTCAACACACGACTTACTAACCGACGTGTTGCAAAAATATCTAGAAGAAATAGCAAAGTCAGCACATGGATATTGTCAGCTGTGTAAGGTTTAGTTGTAAATTGATGGCATGATTATTGATGAGAAGTACAAAGGGTAGTCGAGGTTCTTACACTCAAACAAATTCTTTTACTTTCTTTGCAAAGGAAGAAAACATAAAAGAAAACAACATGTATTTGCTGTACTATGTATTCACCTTATCACTTTGACCAGGGACAGCATTGTTTTTTTTAATTCAGTGAAAACAGAAAAAAAAATTATTCGCAAGTAAAACAAAGTGACGCAAAAAATAAGAATGTTTAGAATTGCACACACATAGGTGGCACCAGATAAGAAACTCCAACAACCTAAAAACTTTGCCATGATAAGTTTTGTCCGGCATTGTAGTGGTGCAGACATTAAAAATTATGATTGAGTTGTTTTTGTAGTTTTCAATAACATGAATATTTTGAATGCTTGGTCCCTGCAAAGTTTCCCTGAAAACTGCATGTGACAGAAGAAGAAACTGGTCCCAGGGGAAAAAAAAGGAAATTTGTCATCAGTTTTCTATACAAATAAGTTTTTTTTTGTAAAATAACAGCACATAGACTTTTTTTTCATCCAATTCCTGATAGATTCCAGAACCGAACCTAACCTAGATGATCTGAACCAAGCCTTCCAGGACATTGGTGTGTGCCTGCGTGAGTTGGAAGACTTTGTGAGCCAGGTAGACCAAGTTCCATTTATTCACCAGTTGCCACGGTTCCCCAAGCCTAAACCTTGTGCCCTTCATCATCCACGTAATGGAGAGATTGAAGAGAGACTGGAGCAGTACTTTGACTACTTGCCTCCTTTGGTCTCTAAGCTTCTTCAAAGTGAAGGTACACCTGCCAACTTTTTGTGAAGCCAATGCCAGAAAGTTTGTCTGAATTGTACTGTTAAGCTTCATTAATTTTCATTGTTAAGTCCCAGTAACTTCACTGTCTTTTGTAGAGGCAGTTTTGTTTGTTTTTTTTTTCCAATTTTGAAATTCTCTTAAGTGGCTGAAAACAATGCATAGTGAGCGAGAGTTGGCAGGTTGCTGCTATTTTTAGCATTTTTTTTGTTGTTCTGGTCATTTCTGATTATGGCAAAACCTGCATTATGCTGAGCTCATCCCAAATGAATACCCCATATTGAGTGGATAACAACATCAGTTTCTCATCTTTCTAAATAAAACAAACCTCTATTTAGCTGAAATCTTCAAGCAGTCTCAAGCACAAGTCCTGTGTTTCCCTGTATTTGTGCCTTGATGATGTCATTTTATGAATGTTTCTTTTACCTTTTCCACAGATGAAGAAAAAGCAGCAACAGAAGATACAGACACAACTGATGCTGGAAAAGAAGGAGAGGCTCCAGGGGGATTTGTGAGGAATGAAATAAAGACAGTTGCGGAGGAAACTTCTAATGTTCCTGTGGCTGTAAAAAGACCCCTTGATAATCCCCCAGGCTTAGAGAATGAAGCAAAGAAACGAAGACTTGATCTGCCTTTTATGCAAAAAGGAAATAGAGGAAATGAAATGGATATTCTGGAGGCATTACAAGGCAATTTATCGTCACCATCACCCACCCCTTCACCTGACGTTTGGAGCACAACTAAAACATTTGACATCCCCTCAACCTCTGGTTCATCTCACATTAAAGCTGCCCATACTACTGAAAAACCAGGGCCTTCAAACTTAACAACAGATAAGCCAAAGGTGGAAAAGAAAAAAGCTGTCCAGGACAAGAAACCACCAGGAAAACCAGCAGAAGCTAAACCTAAGTCAAGTCCAAAAAAGAAAGTTAAGGTTCCTAAAAATGCAACGAGCTCTGTTAAAAAGTCTGCATCACCTACGGTGCCTACACCCAGGCAACCACAAAAGGAAAAATCCCCATCCCTTGTTAAGTCACCTTTATCAGGTAAAAAGCCATCTACTCCAGAGACAAAGGCAAAAGCAAAAACTAAACCAGTAAAAGAGAATAAAGACAAAAAACCATCTGTTAAAGCAAAGAAGCCTACCCTTAAAACTCCTCCTTTAAACACTGAGCCTGTATTGTCTAAAGAAAATATTCAAAACAAGGAAAGCATGCCGAAGTTAATCATTAAACCCTTGAAACAGGAAGTCAATAAAGAACCACAGTTTACTGTTTCAGAATTCCTACCTACAGATAACATAAGCCAACAAGAAAAACCTAAACAGAAGAAACCCAAAAATAATAACAGTACCTCCAAAAAGCAAAAACCTAAAGCAGATAAGAAAGGAACAATTCCGTCAATCAAAGTGGAAGCTAAAGAATTAAGTATTCCTTCTACCAGTGAAGAAGTTAAATTTTCTACTGGAGAATTTGCAGTTATGCCTGCCCCTGTGGAAAGCAATTTGTCAGGTGAACTTCCAATGGATATGGCAGTAGAACATAAGAAGAAAAAGAAAAAGCGAAAAGAAAAGGACAAAGATAAGGAAAAGAAAAAAGATAAAAGCAAAAAGGTAAAGTGTAGAATGAAAAAAAAAGCAATAGTCTCTGGTTGAAAAAAATATGTGGAGAAACTTGTCAAAATTTGGTCCCAATCAGAGAATGACTTGTGATTTGAATGCAGTGAAAGTACATTGTATTTATCACTCAATATTACTCTTGACCATTTCAGTTGAAGACAGACCATGGAGATCTATCCCAGGCTCCTCTTGTACCTCGTATCACAGTTAAATTAGAGCCTCCATCCCACTCAGCCTCATCCACCGTAACAAGCAAATTAGAACCAGCTGCACCCGTGTAAGTACTTACATGTACACATGTTAAAGGTTAGGACACACCAGGCAACATGTGGCCACAACATGTCTTCTTTTGTTCAGGGAGGGCAACAACTTGGCCACCCATTGCAGTGACAAATCACTTTGTGAGCACTGGAGAATTTTTTTGAAAATCTTTGTCAGCATGATAGAATCTTGTCATTGCAACAAGTCCCACAAATTCATTCTGATTTGATGTTGCAACGAAATTCCCCCAAAAAATTCTCTAACCCACACAAAGTGATTTGTCACTTTTTAAAAACTTTAAATAATTTTAAAGGTGAATAATAATATATATAATATATTTTAAATCATCAGAGCCCGATAAAAGTTTAAATTTAAATCATCAGAGTTGCCTGATGATTGCTTCGAAAGAAGCATGAAACTCGGAGTAGCAAATAAAATGACTCAGTCTACTGATATAAACATGTTTACAGCTCTGGTTTTTCCATTGAGCACTTTTATAGCTGATAAAGCCTATATCCTTACCACTGGTAGTTATAATATATTCAATATATTATTTTAGAAATATTTCAGAGCTCTGTTTTAACAGCAAATGGTCTCTTGTGACTTTTGCCTTTGGGCTACAAGGAAATCTCTAGTTTCTGTACAATATTCAAGTGCAGTTGGGTTTATGTCTACTGTAGGTCAGTGTTTCTTAATAGTAATAGGTTTGAGGGGAGTCCTATTCACTCTGTAATCATACACGTGATTAACAAAGTCAGTGGTTATCTTACTTGTTTAATCACAAGTATAATGATAAATCAAAGACCGAATTGGACTACATGAAGGTCTGTTACTTTTATTTATCTCAACAGCTTACTATAACAAAATTTGTGACAATTTAACCTTTTTTCAAATTCAAACATGAGATCTTCCAAGAGGTTTTTGCCAGTCCAGTAAAATTAGCAATAACCACCTTTCACGCCACCAGTGTCTGTACTTGAAATTTCCTTATTGGACTTGAGACATTGGTATTGTGTACTTTTTACAGGTCACTTGGAACAGCAAGTAGTCAAGTGACGGGCAATGTAGGTCCAGTGTCTCCAAAGGTGTCAGTGAAACAAGAATCTAGTGTCAGTTCTGCTATACCCAAACTGACAATAAAAAGTGATCCACTGGAAAGAACAGTTGTGTCTCAGACTGTATCAACAACTGTTGTACATGTATGTGAATTCTTTGCTTTTAGATGCTAGTCCTACAACTTATTGCACCCAATGGGGAGCAGTAATTACTGTTCCCCTGCAGAGAGAAATGTCCTGAAAAAAACCCACATGGTCAGCTTTAGTGCCATAACAAGTTCAGTGACAGAGAATTACACATTCTTCCTTCAAGCGCAATTATTACTATGTTTGACTGGTACCCAAAAAACTCAATAAAAAAAACATTACTGTAATTACGCTTTGAACTAGCATTAAGCTACCATCAGCAATTTGTGCTACATTGTCACTGTGGCCAAAAATTTATGTATAGTCTAGTTCCTATGTTTGTTGGGTTTGGAAGCCTACCTCCCATTTGTTCATGAAGTATCCCTAACAGTTCCATAATAAAATTGCAGAAAGGCAATAGGCATGCAAGCTACCTACACATATTCTGAATCTATCATGCCCTTCCAACAACGGAGACTGTGAAGAGGTCTGGCATTGCTTAGGTTGCACAGTATTAAACATAGTTTCTATTTTGCATTGACACAGTCTTTTTGTATTATGTTTGATTTAGGGGTATGGAAGGGAGTACTATTGTCCTGTGTGTAGTGATCCTGATGATGGCAGTTTTATGATTGGCTGTGATGGCTGTGATGAATGGTTTCATGGGTGAGTGTGAAGAATTTAAAATAGCCTGAAACATCAGGGTTGTCATTAAGGGTCAGGGACCTGGGATTTCCTCTGGCTACCATGAATGTGCCCTCTGGCTACTTCTACAGGACAAAGAGAAGTAAAATAGAACCAAAATAAATTCCTAACTGATTGATTCCTGCCTACTTGTTGCATTTACCCAGCAACTTGAAATCTTAGTGACAGGCTCCCTAAACATTTTAAGGTTGCCCTTGAGATCTGAACCCCAATATGAGCAGGAAGTACTACTTAACAACATTATCAGATTCAATTTAGGGACTGCATGTGTCAACATAAAATTACGAAAATGAGGCCTATTTGTTCTTCATAAAATATTATTAAATAATGTTCATCATTTTCACTGTCTAGTTGTTAGTTGATTGCAATTTATGTAATTTTTATAATCTCAAAAATTACTTTACTCACCTGAATACCCTATCTGTAATGCATGGAGTTCCTGACCCAGTGTCACCAGTAACTCAAATCTTAACATATGAACTTTGGTTGTTCACAAGCACAAGTCAGATCATCTTTAAATAAGTCTTTATATCAGAATGTATTCTGCAGAGGCTGGTTGCTTCCAAAAAAGTGAGTTTCACCTTGGTATGGCTAAAATTCAAGTTGAGCTGGTGACCTGTTTAGATAAAAAAAAAGGCTGTAATTTTTTTTCAATATTTTATTGTTGTCGAGTAGTCTTTTTCAAAGGGCTGCTACTTTTGAGGGTTAATAGAAACAAAGGTAAATATTTTAATATTTATTATTTTAACATTAAAATTTTACAGTTACTTTGGGAATTCTACCTTATATTGACCATATATTATTGTTGTGGTGTTTTCTTACAGGAGATGCGTTGGGATAGAGGAGGATCCTGAACCGGGAACTGATTGGTTCTGTTCTTCTTGCCTTGATAGAAAAGGCAAGGATAGTAAAGACAAACAAAAGAAAAAGAAAAAGAAGAAGAACAAGGAGAAAGAAAAATAACTTGGAAAAATGAGTAGAGGAAAATCGAAATTTTGTGTACAGATGCCTTGTTAGAAGAATATGAGCGGAACTCCTTTGATGCTATTGCACTTCTGTGATCTCTGAAAGTAACACTGCATCCTGTAAATTATAGCCCTTATGTGTGTTTGACACAGCAGAATAGATCATTTCACCCCAAGCCTTGCTTTCAAATGTTCGATTTGTAAAAGCTGTGACAGTCTCAGAACCTATCTGTAAAGAATTCTCGTGTTTACTATGAATTTCTCTTTCATGACCCTTGAAGGTGAATTTTGAAATTGATGCAACACATATGAGGCCTTGTTTATTTTTTGCTTATAGTAAACCAGACAACTTAGCACAAATATTTTGTTTGATAATTGAAGTGACATGTCTTTTAAAAAACCTCCGTGGTCTAAAAACAGACAAGTTCTCCCATGCTAGGTTTTTTAATCATTAGAAGGTAGGTCATTTTATCGAAAAATCGTCCATCAAGGAAAGAAGGTAGTGATAGTTTGAACTATTGGGTATTTTGTTTTATTTTAATAATTTTTTAAGGATGGGGACAATCTCTGTATGATATATCAACTTTTTCAATAAAATATTTGTTTGACTAAAATATCAATTTAATTTATTCCATTGTCATGTTTGAACGTTAAACACTGCCAAGGGTAAATTATAACGGCATTATGATGATATTATTATTATTATTACTATTATTATTATTATTATTATTATTATTATTATTATTATTATTATTATTATTATTATTATTATTATTCCATGAGAACGAGAAAAAGCGTCTCTACTCAGAGAGAGTCCTGGACATCGGGTATGGAACATTTACACCTTTGGTCTTCACCACAACTGGCGGAATGGGAAAGGAGTGCTTGAAGTATCATAGCCGTTTAGCACAGCTGATTGCCATCAAAAAAGGGGAGCAGTATGCCAAAACCATCTCATGGATCAGAACGAGAACCTCATTCGCACTCTTGAGATCTGCGTTGGTTTGTCTTCGAGGCTCTAGGACAAGAAGAGTGCCATGTGACATTAAGAATGTTGATATCGACGTCGAAGTTGCTGAAGGAGCCATTAAATCGGACTATTGATGTGTTTCCTTACTTCATATATATCTTTTTATTTCATTATTATTATTACTATTTTTTTTTGTTTTTAGCAGTTGAAAGAAACTTTTGAATTTTAGAGGTTGACAGTTTTTTTTAATTTTTTTTTAATTGAAATGAACTGTTTTTAATTCGAAGAAATTTTTCTTTGTTAAATTAACTTTTTTTAAGCTAAATTAGGTGCTTTTTAAATCGACAGGAATTGTAAATAGTGTTTTTGAATGAATAGTTTTTTCTTTTTTTTAAGCGAATTAATTGTAAATGGGATTTTAATAGTTAGTATTGTTGTCAATAAAATTTTTCCATTATTAAATTATTATTATTATTATTATTATTATTATATAAGATATACTAGTGTAATTGTGATTGATTTTCTCTCTCAACATCTGAATCCAAACCATGGACTTTGGGAGGCAAAGAGGTTTTCGACCCACCTGAGAAGGTGGGCTGTAGAAAGGAGAGTTATTTTCTGGAGTTCTTTTCAGGGATTTTGTTGGTGTAGTTTTCCATGTCCTTCTTGATGATGCCAAGGGCTCCCATAACCACCGGGACTGTTGTTGTTTTGAGCCCCCATATTCACTCAACCTTGATTTCCAAGTCTATGTATTTGTTAAGCTTTTCAGTGATTTTGACTGAGGTGTTGGTGTCGAAGGGTACAGTCTTGTCAATGAGAAGGCAGGTTTTATCCTTCTTGTTCTTTAGCATAATGTCTGGCCTATTAGCCGCTATAGTCCTATTATTATTATTATTATTATTATTATTATTATTATTATTATTATTATTATTATTATTTATCTCTTCTTTCACAGTCTTTGCTGGTGTTCTTTTTGTGCATCAGCCGTGCACAAACCATGCACCTGGAGCATCAGTCAGTGACTCAAGTCGATCATTCTGTCCATACACTAAGCACCTTCCTGAGGATTCGGGTAGATCCCAGCATGCAGATCTTTTGGGTCCTTGTCACAGTAGCTCCATAGAAGCGTTGGATGACTCGAATTACCACAATTTCTTCCCCCAGTTAGACCTTTTTGGGTTTTATGTTTTGTTTTCTCATTATGGGTAGCTTGTAATATTACTTGAGACAAAATTTGTCTCGTTCTCTTTATAAGCCCCTTTGGATGTAAGCCCGTCCGTTTATAAGGCCTCGTAAAAACCCCTTACGAAGATGTATAAACCCAGGAGTCATAAGCAGAAGTTTTGGTATAACATTACGAGTGATTTGTGCGTAAGGCGCCACTTGTTGCGATGTGCACCCGGTAGCTGTAAGATTTTACCAGCAATAAAACATTCAGCTAGGACATTAGATGACTACACTCTTAGAAGAGGATCTGACTAGTCATTTGACTAAGGGCATTTACCTTTAAAGAGTGGAGGTCAGGTAGCCGCTTACCAGGTACAAAATAAAACAATAATATAATTGAGACTTGACAATTTTTTATTTGCTTGTTTTTCTGATTGCTTTTTTGTAATCATAAAAAGTGTAAACAAATGCATCAATCAACTAAAGAAAATTTCAAGATCACGTCAATAATTCATTAAGGCATTACATCTGTCGAAACATGGCGGAATTTTAGCTAAAGTTACGTTGACAAAAACTTACGAATTATGGTAAGAATAAATAAATATTTTGTTCAGTATTTGAAGTCTTCAATAAAGTCGAGTTTTTTTGTTGAACAAAGAATACATCCAGTCGATTGCGTCCCGATTTCTTAACTATATAACGCAAGTTTCTTCTTGTTTAAATAAACTTAACTTAAATCTAATAAAGAAACAACCACTGGCTTTTCCAAATTTTGAACTTTACCATAGTGTAAAATATATACTTTTGTTTATATTTAACTTGAAAGATTTATTTTAACACTAAAATGAATGAAATAATCTTCACTTAAAGGCTTATTTAAAATATCTCCGTGGTAACTCAAGAAACGACGATAAAATACCAAAAATGTACAACAGTGGAAACAATTCCATTTTCTTTAAAACATTTACAACAAAAATAAAAATAGATCACAAATAAATTAAACAATTTTCAGTCGAATTCAACATTTCGTAGAATAAAAATCACAGTAAAATGGCGATTGACAATTATCTCAAATGCCCCGCATTTACCTGGGCAAATATTAATAAATTACATCTCGTGAAATACCACAATATTCAATAAAGGAAGTCTATGTACACATCGTAAAACAAGCATGGAAAGTTCAGAAACATCAGATTGTTGTTTGTCAGCCATGATGTCCCTGGCAACACTTGCACTGCGGTGCTTGCTTGCACTCATCGTAATCATCAAATCCAAGCAGAAAACTGCAGTATTTTCGCCTTTAACTGTCCTGGAAATTATGGATTAACGGAGAACCTCCTGGGTTCGTTAACGTGTCTTGAAAGGCTGCATTATCAGAATAAGCCAATCATTTGCCACAATGTAAAAATAAATAAGAAATGGACTGACATAACTTGAAGAGACGGCCTTGTTAATGAACTATCACCACACATATAGCCTGTTTCCTGTAAAAAAAAGTAGAAAACAAATAAAAGGTGAAAACTGAAATAATTGCTACGTTTCGTGTACACGAGGAATTTGTAGATGTCATTGTTAATGGTTTGATCCCAGTACTGCCATGTCAGCAGTTTGAAGATGAGTACAGTTCTGAATGAGACTGTTGTTGACAGTGACTGACTTGGAAGTGACACGTCATCAGTAAGCAATTTCTTTGCTTATTCCTCAGACGACATTTCGCGGGGAAGCCGCTAGTGGCGACGTGAAATATTGGCTATTTTCTCAGGGGCTACGGCAACCGATACGGGAGTCAGCACCAAAGTCAAAGTGAATTGGGCGGTATCGCAAGTTGATAGTATTGAAATTCAGTTATTAACCTGATTCGTTAACTTACAGAGTTAGTTGATACAAAGCATCTCTTGGGTCGCCTGCGGTATTCAGGTTCCTTGCATACAGGTTCTGGCTCAGAGGAAAGTAAGGTTGTCAAGGAAAATCAAACAATGATATGGCGTCCACCAAAAGCGGCCTGCAGCCAGCATAGCTGCTGCTTAGCAGAATCGAATGACAACAACTAAACATCCACTAACACAGAGAAGTAGATTCAACAATTACGAGAAAGTTTCAGGTTATTTTGCTTCTACTGTCAAAATCATTTGAGTCTGGAATTCGTTCACACAATGCATATGTTAAAGTCTATGGAAATCAAAGTTATAAAAGCATAGTATTCCTTCTTAAAATTTGATGCAAAACATGAGTGAAGAACTACTGAGCACGATTCGATAATAAGCATTTACAGATGAGTATCTGAGTGACTCTGTAGCACTATTATAAATGAACGATTATAAAAAAAAGTACCGTAAAATTCCGAAAATAATCCCTTCCACGTATAAGCCCCTCCAAAACTAAGCCAATCAAAGCGGTAACGCAAAAAACCCTCTGTCAAATCGCCCCTCAAAATATAAGCCCCCCCGGAGTAAAACAAAGCAAAAACGGTAAATTTACTTCCAACAGTACGGCTAGCCCAATCGATTTTGAAACGCAAATTTCCCTCCGTAGATAAGCCCCTCCGAATATAAGCCCCTCCAAAAAACAAGCCTATCAAAAAGGGCCTTTGAAAAATATAAGCCCCGGGGCTTATTTTCGGAATTTTACGGTATATTAAACGAGGACACACATAGGGAGCTCCGTAGTGACGGTCTGCTTGATACATGGGCACTTTACTGATGCTTCTATCCAATTAATACAGGTCTGACTTTATTTAAACTGCAACTTGAATAAAACGTACACTGTAACCACCCCATACATGACATTAACCATTTAGCAGTTTCTGGACAATCATTTGAGGAGTGTCTCAATGATAAGATGTAAATAACGAAAAAAATTAAAATGATGATGAATTTGATTGAGTATCTTGATTACGACAGCTAGTATTATTTGTTGTTGGGGGTGGCCAAGTGTGAAAGGATATTTTCCGTTGGTTCACCTGGAATTGCCATACCCCGGACAGACTGAGAGCACGGTCCACATCCAGTACCCTCAATCACCACCAGCAACAGATTAGTGTTTGGAACACTTGATAGTGCATGCCGCCTGATAAACAAAACAGGGAAGAAAAATCATCATAAGAGTACACATCATAAAGCTTGTCCTTTTTGCTATTTCAAAACCTTACCTTACGCAATCATTGCAAGTAGTTGTTCCTGTTAAAAGAAAGAAAGAAAACTGTAAGTCAGCTACTTTGAACAACCATTTGAAGAGTTTAATAATTCAGTATCAGTAGAAAAATTGTGCTAATTTTCTGGTTTTGCCTTCTTTCTAGCCTGCGAATACAGACGTCTCTCCTCTCTCCTGAAACACCCTTAGCGGCGAGGAGCGAGGACAGACGGATGTATTCCCGGGGTACCCTCTGAATAAAGTAAGTCATGGGTACATCTATATGTATGCTT